CCCCCATTTCCCCACTTCTTTGACCCCTTATTCCACACTGACTCCCAATTCCCCAGCTCTTTGACTTCCAATTCCCCCCTTGACTCCCCCCAGTTTCCCCTTTGACCCCCACTTTGCCCCCCAGGGTACCCCAACGTGGGTAAGAGCAGCCTCATCAACAGCCTCAAGCGGAGCCGGGTGTGTGTGGTGGGTGCAGTGCCAGGGGTCACCAGGTAAGCTCTGTCTCCCTAAGGGAGGAGCTGACACAAGCCCCCCTCCAACTTTCCCCCAAGGTGGGGGTGAGGGAGGGGTCAATCTAAGCCCCTTCCCCCCTCCCAGGTGCCTGCAGACAGTGCAGCTGGACCGCCACATCCAGCTGTTGGATTGCCCCGGTGTTGTCATGGAGACAGGAGCCCCCACTGCTGCCGCCCCACTCCGGGGGGCTTTGGCCCCACAGCGCCTGCGGGACCCCCTGACCCCCGCTGCTGCCATCCTGCGGCGCTGCCCCCCTGAGCAGGTGAGTTCAGCCCCATTGCTATGAGAGGGGGGTGGGCTTCAGCCCTATTTCTGGGGGGGTCTGGAGAGCTTTGTATGTCTGAGGGGGTCTCAGTGCCATTGCTGTGGGGTTTGGAGGTGTCCGGGGGTTCTCAGACGCACTGCTGTGATGCTTAGGGGTGTCATGGGGGGACTTCAGCTCCATTGCTGTGGGGCTTGGTGCTGTTTGGGAGGGGTTCAGTCCCACTGTTGGGGGCTATGGTGGAGTTTAGGAATGTTTGGGGAGGATCTCCACCCCATTGCTGTGGAGTTTGATGGCATCTGTGGGGCTCAGCCCTATTGCCATGGGGATGGGGAGGTCCCCATCACTGTGACAGTGGGGTGACAATGGTCTGTTCTCCTTTTCTCCCCAGCTGAGCCAGCTCTATGGGGTGCCCCCCTGCCCTGACCCCCGGCAGTTCCTGTCCCACCTGGCCCGCCGGCAGGGCCGCCTCCGTCCGGGGGGGCTCCCAGACCCCCACGCCGCCGCCGTGGCTTTGCTACACGATTGGACCAGGTGAGCAGTGTGACAGCATACAGAGCGGGGACTCTGCACCCTAAAACCCCATAATTCACCCCAAAATCCCACAGCGGGAAGATCTCTTACTACACACACCCCCCCAAGCGTGACGAGGTTGGGGTGCAGCTGGAGGCACAGATCCTACAATCAATGGGGCCGGAGCTCGACCTTGAGGCGCTGGAGAGGGGCGACGCTGAGGCGCTGGCAGGTGGGAATTTGGGGTTTTTTACCCCCAAAATTCAGCCCCCACTCATCTCCACTGCGCTGACCTGGTCCTGTTGTAGTGGTTCCGGAGGTGGTGACGGGTATTGAGATGTCCCCGTGTGTCCCTGAGGAAGAGGAGGAGACCATGGAGGACAGCCACGAGCAGGAGGACAATGGGGACGACCTGGAGGTATGGAAATAAAAAAGAATGGGGTGAATTTGGGGTTTTTAGGGTATGGAGATGGTTCTTTAGGATCTCCTCCCCAGCTCGGTGCGGTGACGGTGGAGCTGAAGGCACGGACAAAGGCGGGGGGAGGCGGGGAAGAGGAAGAGCCCCCACCCCGTGCCCCACGTTTGGAGGAGGTGGCTGCTCTCCCCCCGCTGCTGCAGGGCCAGGGGCTGGCAGCTGCTGGGAAACGGAGGAAAAAGCTGCAAAAAAGAGCAGGTGAGCAGAAAACTAATCTGTAATTTTTGTGAGTCGACCCTTTTTCCTCATTCCCCTCCCTCCCCCAACACAAGCACCTCCAATTGTGACCATATTTCCCCCCCTCCCCACACTCTTCCCTGGCAGAAAAAATCGCCACCAAGCTCTCAGACTCGCTGATGGCAGCCATGCAGTTCTGAAGATGGAGATTTATTATTTTTGTATGAAATGGTTAAAAAGCAGCTTTGGCAATAAAAATACATATGGAGTTGGGGTGTCAAGGCGGTCTGGAGATGTGGTTGGGGTCTCATGGCTACTTGGGGAGGTTACAGAGTGGTCCCCTGTTTCCTGAAGGGGGTTGGTGGGGCAGGTCAGCTTGTTTCAGCACTCCAGAAGTTGATGGTGGCTTTAGGGTTCCCACATGTGCCAGAGGTGTGAGGATATTGGCAGCCATGGGGTCCCCATATCTATGGAGCTGGCGGTGGCTGTGGAGTCTCTACGAATTCCTGGGGACAATGGTGGCCTCCACAAGTCCTTGAGGTTGGTGGCAGCCATGACGTCCCGTATCACACATCCATAGAATTGGTGGTGGCATTGGGGTCACCTGAGCACCTATGGGGACACTGGTGGCTGTGAAATCCCCCCCATGGGGTCCAGCAGTGGCTGCATTGTCTCCTTATGTCCCAGATCTGGAGGTGGCCATGGAATCCCCAACCCCATAGAGTCCCACATCCGTGGGGACAGCAGGGACAATCTTAGGCTGGCAGTGAAGAGGGGGACAGGAAATCCCCATAGGGCCCCCCCAGCAGCACTGGCACTTTGGAACGTGGGACCAACCAGCAGCGGCCAGGCCGGGCTGTCCCCTGTGCCACCTGCAGCTCCTTTGTCACCAGCCTGGCCATCACTGTCACCTCACCCCGGGACAGCCGCGCCATTCCCGTTGTCCCCAGTGGGAACAGCCGGATGCCACGCAGGCGGCCTAAAGGAAAGGGGACACGTGTCACACCCCCCCCTGTGCAGGTGACAAAGCCACCCCGTGGGGGTGAGGACAGCACTCACCCAACAGCCCCCCAGCCCTTGGGGACAACCAGCTGCCGTTGGTGATGTAGAAGCCGAGGTGGTCGCGCTGCAGGGCGCCGGGTCGGCTGTAGCGGTGACGCAACACCAGGAGTTCCAAGCGGGGACCCCATTGGAGGTGCAGGCGGCCCCCCAGCCCCAAAACCAGCATCACGGGGGGGAGGTGGAGTTGGGTGGGATGGGAGAAGGGCAGAGAAATGGGGGGACCCTCCCCGCTCACACGGATCCCCTGGAGGGTGACGGTGACGATGACGGTGTGCCCCGAAATGGTGACAGTGTTGACAAAGGTGCGGGGACGTAATGGGGCGCTCGGCCAGGATGGGGCACTCATCAGGTGCCCATGGACTGTTAGTCCTGTAGAATAGGTTGGGAGGGGGACATGGGGTGACCCCTCCTCTATTTAAAGGGCACTGGGGGCTCCCCACAGGTTTTTTGGGGTGTCCTCACCGAGTGACGGGTCAGTCAGCAGCTGCAGGATGTCCCCGGGGCGACCATCGAGGGTGAAGCAGAGGGGGTACGGCGTGCCCTGAACGTGGGCCACAAAGTGGGGGTCCCCATCCACTGTGGGGGGGTCGGAGGGGTCATTTGGGACCCTCTAACCCCTTTGGTACCGCCCCCTTACCCTCTGTCCCCTTACCTGAGGCTGAAAAGGTGAAGAATGTGGGGCTGGAGGAAGCTAGAGAATAAGGGGAGATGCATGGGGGGGCTGCAGATGCTGTTATGGGTGCTGTGCCGCCTCCCACCCAATCCTGGGGGTCTTGGGTATCTCTGTGCTCCTCTCCCATTTATGCAGTGTCCCTCAACTCACCCACATCAACATCATGGCTAAGATCTGGAAGAGAAATGGGTAATTGGAAGGGGAGCTGTGGTGTGCCTCCTTCCCAGATTTTGGGGCTGTGGGGGGGCTGTTACCTGTGGCATCTTCATCATCAGGGGGCCCTGGGAGGGTGAGATAGAAGTGAGGATGTGGGGGGAGGGGAGGGGTAGGCCACAAAAAGGGGGAAATTTAGGGTTCTGTGGAGAAGGGGCAGAGCCCACCTGTGGGTGTGAGGATGACATAGACGGGGGGGTTCAAGGACTCCACGAATTCCTCACCCCCCACGCCGGGTGCCAGCAGCTCGGCCTCATCTGTCTGCAGCAGCACCGCGTTCCCAGGGCCGCGGGGCAGGCTGGGACCCCCCCACGGCACCGGGGGCACCTGGAGTTGGGGTGGGGGGGGCTGCAGCTGCACGGTGGGTGGCACTGTGTCCCCCGTCACCGTGTGGTCCCCGAGTTCTCCCCGTGCTGTAGCAGCAGCTGTGACAGCTCCATCTGGTGTCCCCGTGACGTCCGGTGTCCCCGTGGGGCTGATGGTGGTGATGCTGGGGGGGGACGTCAGTCCTCCGTCACCCGGTGTCGTCACCACGAGGGAGGTGAAGGGGGTGACAAAGTGATAGAGCAGGGACAGCTCGGTGGCCTCGGCAGCGAGCCGGCGGCATGCGGCCGTGCTGTTGGCACCCAGCTGAGCCCGCAGCAGCTCCTGGATGGTGACAAAGGCCCACAGCCGGCGGACGAAGGCACCGAGCAGCGCAGCAGGGTGTTGGGGACAGCTGGGTGGCAGCTCGGTGATGTTTGCCACCACCTCGGTGTCGGCGTGGAGCTCGCCCTCACCGCCTCGCCCGGATGCTTGGATACGGAGCCGCTCCGTGCCCGGTTCCAGCTTCCCAGCCACCACCAGCTCAGAGCCTTGGAAATAACCGGGGAACAGCTTTGGGGCGACGTGCCGTGCGGCTGCGCCGGGGTAGGTGAGCTCCACGTCCCGCAGGAGCGGGCTGTCGATCTCCCTGAAAACGTCGGTGAGATGGAAGGCAGCGTCGGCGTCCTCGGGGATATGCTGCGCTGTTCCCCCGCTGGCGGCGGCGAGACGGCGCAGAAGGGCAAAGTCAGCATCGGCCCCGAAAGCCAAGCCGAAAAGCAGAGCAGCTGAGGGGGAGAGGGCACGGCGGGTGTTGGAGAGGATGCGGGGGACGTCGGTGACCCCCGCGGTGGGCTCGCCGTCTGTCAGGAGGAGCAGCAGGGCGACGCGGGGCTCCTCGGCCAGGCGGTGAAGGAGAGCAGCTGCCACCTGCAGTGCGTGGTTGATGTCGGTCCCTGCGGGAACAGCAGGTGGAGGTGTGTGATAATGCAGACAGAAGAGGGCAATGCGGTGTTGGCAGCCGTGTGTGACAGCACAGTGACGCGCTGCACATGCAGAGATGCTCACTACGTGTGGTACTCACAGCCATCAGCCTGAAGGGCATCAATGTACCGCGTGGCACTGCGGATGGAGGATGCAGAGGCCGGAATGGAGCCGCCCTCCTGCCACACGCAGGCGGCCTCGGCGAAGGCGACGATGTTGAAGCGGTCGTGGGGACGCAGGTCGTGCAGGATGGAGCGCATGGCCGCCTTGGTCTGCGGGTACGGGCAGAGTAAAAGTGGGGACACGGCAAGAAATGGGGTCTGTGGGGTGTCTGAGCACTACCTGCTTCATCTTGATGCCCGACATGGAGCCGCTGACGTCGATTACGAAGACGACATCCTTCGGGATGGGGGACAGCCCAGTGGGTGCGAAGAAGTGGACGAAGTGTCCGTCGTACAGCTAGAGGACAAACAGGGGCAGCTGGAGGATGGGCTCACACCCACCTTCCAGTGCATCCATCCGTCCTCAGCGCACCTCCACCTCCCCTGCGGCGTCACGCCGCACCACGTCGTACTCCAGCACGAAATCACCGAGCGCTGCCCGTTCCTGCGGGGTGGGTTTGAAGGCGACACGGGCGCAGTGCGTGCCCTTCTCCACCCGGATGGACGGCGTCACCCGGCCTGCGTGGTGGAGGAGGTGGCATCAGGGCTCTGTCACCGAGACGGGGGGGATCGCTGTCAGCACGGCCGTACCTCCGAGCAGAGGCAGCACGCGGAGCTGAGCAATGCCGGCCCGCTCGGTGATGCTCAGCTCCACACAGAGCTCGGCTACGACGCGGTGGGGATGGAGGTGCAGGGCGTAGCGGTACGTGCCCAAGCGACGCCGCAGCAGCTCCTCGTAGCACAGCTCAAAGGATGCATCCCTGCTGGCTGCCACCGAGGCCGTCACATGGAAGCGTTGGGTTTCCTTCTCCCTGTGTGGCAGGAGGGGAGCATTACAGCTGCCATCACATGTTGACATATCCCATCCCTCTCCTCCCCTCTCCTCCTGTCCCTATTCCCACCCCTCCCCTCTCCCCTCCCCTCCCTATTCCCTCCCCTCCCTATCCCATCCCTATCCCATCCCATCCCTATCCCTATCCTTATCCCATCCCTATCCCATCCCATCCCTATCCCTATCCTTATCCCATCCCTATCCTATCCCATCCCTATCCCTATCCTTATCCCATCCCATCCCTATCCCCATCCCTATCCTCCCTTCCCAGTGCTCACTTGGTGCCAACATGGGCGGCCGTCCTGCCCTGCCGGCGGGCCGCTTCATACAGCTCCCGAGCCCGGCGCTTCTCCATCACCTCAGCCCGGTGCTCCTTGCCACCAACCATCCTGGTGGAAAACAGCAAGTCCAGCTGTGCACGGCTGCCTCTCCTCACCCAGCCGAGTGTCCCATGTGGGCACGCAGCCCCTCCTCGTTACAGGGTGAAGTTGGTGATGAAGGCAGCAGGCGGCAGGTCCAGCTGGAAGGCGGCGCGGCGCGGCCGGGCGTCGGGGTTGTGCACGGCGCCGCACACACAGGTGGAAGCGTAGCGGGAAACGATGGTGGCCTTCACACCAAAGCTCCTCACCGGCAGCTGTGAGCGAGGGCAGCGTCAACACAACCCCTCCCACAGCTCAGCCCGCTCCCCGTAATTAATAAAAACGAACTCGTTAACGGTCTGCGCTCACCTCCGGGCTGAGGGACAGACCTGGGGCAGGCAGGAGTAAGGGCAGCACGGCGTACCAAGCCCAGGTGCAGCCCAGCTCCTCCATGCCTCCTCCTTCGCTGCCTTCAC